CAAAGCCCCAAAAAAAAAAAAAAAAAAAAAAAAAAAGAAATGAAAGAAGAAAAAAGAGTCACTCACAGAGCAATCAAGCCTGAAGATACCATAATGCACAGTTGAGTCCTTTCATGCTTACTTGAACAAGGGCATGAACTGCCCTGTCTTCGTGTGCCACAGTCATGTAAGACACTTACAACTTATTCACTTGACTACTCATTTATTATTACTAGTAACTCCCGCTCTTTGTTTATCTCCGTCCTCTTGGACTGAGAGGCTTCCTGTCTGACCAACACTGAAAAGAATACTCCTGGCTCTGAGCCCTTTCTGGCGTCTCACTGCTGCAGTGAGATCTTAGGAACACTGAATGAAAACTGGCCAGACTTAAGCAGTCCCAGGCCCCCAGCGCCTGATCATCAACGCAGGACCTCATTCATTAAAATATCCACCTAGCCCATTCTATTGAATCATTTCCCTTGTTTGTAACACATGAATGGATGCATAGCTATTATTTATATTCCTAAAGTTAAATAACAGTGAAGAGGGAGGGAAAGAAATACACATAATCCTGCCGCAGGAAAACCACCACTACGAGCATTCTGACACGTTTCTCTCCAATCCTTTTAGACATAGAGCACTGCTTTATTTAGAAAGAATTATAATCATACTATTTATATGTACATACAATTTTTTAAACGTCTTCTAAACAACATTGAACCAAAAATCTTTTTCAAAATGAATATGTATTCTGAGGATAAAAGTATGCAAACTAGAAAACACAGAAAATGCATGTAAAATAAATATTGCTCGAAGTCCTGTTATCCAGATGTGGCCCCTACCAACATATTGGTACATTTTGCTATTGTATTAAAATATTCATGTACAGATTTTTTTTTTAATTTTGAAAATGAAGATCAAATTCTATATAGTCAATATATTGTCTGCTACATTCACTTAGCACTATATTGTTATAGGGCGCGTGCGCTTGCCAGACAAACAGAGAGAGACATAGAGACAGAAAGCGAGAAATCACCCCCCAGGGGCGATGGTCACACCGCAATCCCTTCTCTCCCATTCTCCTCTCAGGATCTTGGGCATGCACGCACACGCGCCCGCCATGAGTTCTAAGCCACCGGGTCTGGGACACGAACCGCGGTCGACTATGTGGGAATCCAGTGACATAGCCATTATGCTAGCTGCTGGTTCCCAGCACTATATTGTGAACATATTCATAGACCATTTAAAATTCTTTGAGACAATGAATTTTAATTGATAATATATTATATGTTTGTGTCATAAGAGTATTAATTTCCTTTATTGAAAATTAAGGGTGTTTCCAGATTTGCAAAAATGTGAGCATGTTTGTCAGTATCTTTGTTCTCATTATTTATTAGAGCCAATTTTCAGAAGTATAATTATTTAAAATGTTTAAACCAAAAATATATATGAACTATATCAAGAAGTAAGAAAATCACTATTTTTCTCTACATTTCTATATTAAGGGGTTGGACACCACAATTTTAAAAACTTTTATGTAAATCTACTTGGGTAAATTTTTATTAGGCTGAACATTTTCTTTCTTTTTTTTAAGAGAGTTTTGTTTTTTGTCTGTTTGTTTGTTTTTGTTTTTGCTAGAGGGTATGTGCATGTGCAGGAGAGACAGAGACCATTCTCCTCTTGGGATTTTGGTCATGTACACACACATGCCCAGTGTGAGTTTAAGTTGCCATGTCTATGACTCAAACCGGGGTCAACTATGTGGGAATCCAACAACGTGACCATTACACTATCTGCTGGTCCCTTTTTTTTCTTCTTCTTCTTCTTTTTGAGTAGCTTTTTGCCATAGGGCATGTGCACTTACCCAAGAAAGATAGAGAGAAAGTGAGATATCATCCCCTGGGGTGAGGGGGAATAGCCACACCGCAATCTCTTCTTCTCCATTCTTCTCTCAGGAGTTTGGGCATGCATATACCAAGTGCCCAGCATGTTTTTCAAGATGCCAGGTCTGGGATTCAAATTACGGAGTTGGCCATGTGGGAGCCAGTGCCTTAACCACCATGCTACCTGCTGACCCTGTTTTTCCTTTTAAAAAAGCTAGCTTAGAGAGTTTAATATTGGGAGAGGCTAGAAGGAAGGTACATAGAACATTCCTCTGAAACTTCCTGTCAATTGATAAGTATTGCAAAATAGAAAGTAAAAAGCAAAAACTCCACAACTATCTATATTTTGATGTGTGTGTGTGTGTGTGTGTGTGTGTGTGTGTGTGTGAATTACGTATTTTTTCTATTTACTTTTTGAGGTGTTATTTCATATTTGTTCATTGTTTACATATTTAAAACACTACCATTAATTTAGTATTATCTCTCATTTTCACTGGAAATAGTTTTTCTTAGTCTATGTTTTCCTAAAAAAGATAGTTGACTATAGTAAACATTTCTTTCCCAATTTTTTTTTCTATTGTTTCCCAGCATAGGGAATCCTACTTATTCTAGCAGTTTGATAATATTTTTCAGTTAATTTTTTATATTTAACTCAGATTCATGGGTGATTCACCTTAGTGTGTGATGGAAAGATTTAAACTTCTTTTCAAAATTGCTTTGAACTATGCTGACCTAATTTACTGAATAATCCATTTTTTTCTCTTTGGTTTTGATGCCTTTTCTACCACATATTTCTTAATATTTCTTTTATGTAGAAATTGTGTTTATGCTTGAGAAGTTATTCCGTCCCATTCTTACACCATCACCACCTTAATTTAATAAGCTTTGAGTGTTTTATCTTCTAGCTGGGCATATCTTTCCTCATTATATAGCAGTCTAGTGTTATTGAGAAAACAAATGTTTTAACCTGATTAGAAGTGGATTTAAATTCCAGCTCCACGTCTTACAACATGTGCATCTGGGGGAAACTGTTTAACCAAACTGGGCTTTAATGATTTTGTATCTAAAGTGAAATTACCACCACCTACCTCACAGAGTCCTGGTTAGGATCTTTGTAAGATAATGCATGCAAATAGCCATGGAACTGCAAACAGGTAGGCCATTACAATAATTAAGTGTCTTCTTCTCTTTCACTTTTCTTTAAAATACTTCCCTTTTTAGTCTCCTAAGTGGACTTTTTTTTTTTTAAAGAAAGAATTGTTTTATTTATTTATTTATTTTATTTGACCAAAGAGAGACAGAGTGAAAGAGGGAGAGCAGGGAAAGAAAGAAAGCAAGACGCCAGGTCCGGGACTCAAACTGCAGTCGGCCATGAGCCCTTAACCATCATCCCACCTGCCGCCCCCCTAAGTGGACTTTTGATGTAGTAGGATGCTATCTCCAAAGTCACCTGGCCTTTCATTTGGAATATAAAATAGTCTAAGACCCGATAACCTGGTAATATTAAACCTTCCCATTCAGGAACATAAAATAGGGGACTTGATTGGTCATGGGGGTGATTTCTGATGGGAAAGGAGAGATTTTAGAATTTTAGAATTCAAATAGCGGGGTCCAATGCCAAAGACAGGGATTCTGTACAGCTAAAAGAAGGTAACAGAAAGGAAGCAAAGAAAGTGAGAGGTCCCACATAAAAGACACCTTGAGCTGAACCCATTGTCAGGGACTGTCATTCCCCAACAGATTCAAAGTGTCTGAGGGTTATCTAGAAAAATAAAATAAAATAATAATAAAGTGGACTCAAGTTTTCAGTCTGGGTGGTCGTTTCTACTCAACTCTACTTATTTCCTGAAGGCAGCAATGGCTTTTCTCTTGCTGGGAAAGTTAGCCTGAAAAAAGGATCAGCCATGGGAAACAATCTCTAGAAGGAGAAATGATAAATGGGACAATTGCATCACTGGCTCAAGACCCAAGAAGGCTGTTTTGGAATGCATGACTTTGAGGGATGTTACTGTCATCCCTCGAGGACGGTTTATAGCATTTAAACTTTCAGGTGTTATTTTGAGATAGTTTAAAAATACACATTTCAAAAGACTTGGATTTTGTTTTTTTTCCCTTCCAAACACAAATAGTCCCAAGTATACACAGTGAGCATAAATTTGTAAATGCAAAGATGAAGATTATCTGCTTAAATATTTGTTAAATATATAAATATAATTTATGGGTAATACTATTTAAAATGTAAGTACTGTCTGGAAACATGCACAAACGTTGGAGAATGCTAAAGCGTCTGGCAGCAAACCATCCTCATTGATAGCCAGTCGTGGCCATGATGGGGCACTCCTGATAGGTTCTAAAGAGAGCCCACTGGGTGAGCATGTTTCTTGGCCCAGGTCTACAATGAAGACCACTGTAAGGAATGTTCCGGTATCTAATCTTACAGGCAACAATTTAAGTCTGGGCTAAAATAAATGGAAAGTCATCTCTGTGAGTAGTGCATCTGTAGAGAGACTGCATAGTCGATCACTGGGTGCTAAAGGAGTCATGAGAGGCCTGAGAGCCTCTGGAGAGAGAGAGAGGAACTGTCTCCAGGCAACCTGGTCCCATCCACTTGGGCACTATATATGCTTCAGGTGGGGGTGGATGCCCAGGGCCTTGCAGCCTACCTACTGACGGACTTCAGACTCAACTCTCCTCATTGCCGAAACCATAGCTTCCCAAAGACTTGAGGGTATTGTGTGAGGGATTTGTATTCTTCGAGGACAGGAAAATAAGGAAGAAAGCAGTGATTCGACATTAGAAACTGCTCTTAAACATTTACACAGACACACACACACCTTGTCTATTACTGTCCTTAATTTTTATTTTAAATATACTCAGTCTAATAAATTTGTTAATGAAAAGTAATCATATAAGACAGATTTTCTTTTCTTTTAAGAGACAGATTAAAAAAAAAAAAACAGCATTCACCTTCACTATTTACTTTCCTTTCCTACTTACTTTCCAAGTAACCCATCTGTATTTTTTTGAAATTTCTCATGATAAACATATTCAAGGGTCCAGACTGGCTCAGTGGTAAAACAAGATGTTCTACAAGGCAGAGTCACAAGGAAAGGTTCCAGGTGGGTGTCTGGAGACCTCCCTGAGTCCACCCAGCTCACATGCACATGCTCATGATCTGGGGCTGAATGAAGCTGGGATGGGTTGTGGCTGGGGATATTGTTTCTCTCTCACACACACACACACTCATTCATGAAATAAATAAATAAAATCTTGAAAAATAAATTTTAAAAGAAATAGAAAGGCCTCCCTCAGGTGGTGATTTAAACAAAACAAAGACCATTTCGGATAAACATCTCAAGTCCTGAAAAAATACCTTTCCAAAGTATATGTTATTAACTGACCAAGACACTTCCATTGTAATGCAATACCTTTTCCTCAGAGTGTACAGATGTGTGCAGTGAAAGAAAATAAAGTAACAGAAAGGGGGACAAGGGACCAGCCATAAAGAAAGGATTCTCAGAGGGGCCAAAGGAAGCTAACAAGGAACTAAGAGTCTAACAGGTGTGAGAAATCTAGTTTTCTGTAGGAAGAACAGACAAATGTTTATTTCCCTATAGTTCCCATGCCAGAAATACTTAGTGATTCTTAGGCGGAAAACAGGGCGACTAGATATAAAAGGAAGAATAAATCTGGAGTAAGACTGTTTTAAAATGTGGTTAGTGGCATCCTCTTCAGACAAGTTTGAAATCCCAGGACCCTGGTCCGTGCAGCAGCTGCGGACAGCACCCAGAGGAAGCAATGGAAATGCAAACACCATTCACGAGGGAAGGTGGAGAGCCGTGCGGTTGGACAAAGGGTGTCATGGAACAGAGTCGCCAAGTAGACAAGAAACCTACCCACCTCTGCCAGATTGTCTCCCGACTTGGCAACAGCAGGGGGGTCGAGGAGCAGAGACTCGGCATGGATTCTGCGTAAGCGTTCTTTAAGGTCTGTATTTTGGGCTAGGGCCTGGAACATGTTAAAAATAGTGGGGCTCTGTTAATAAATGCATGCTTCCAGAAAGCTGTTTCAGCAGTGGGCCCAGCAGGAGAGATTTCTAAACCTCTCAGTGATCGGGCCCTGAGAGGGCACTTCCTGAACCTTTTCCTTGAATGGCCTCCAATAGGCTGCCAGTTGGGAGATGCCTGGAGATAATAAGCAGTCACCTCAGGAGTGATGCTCCTTCTCTAGTCTCATTCCAAAAATGGAAAGAGCGTTAGGAAGGAGACAGAGAAATCACAGTCTCCTTCAGCTTTTATTAAGATTAGTGGATTCAGGGACCAGCAGATAGCATAATGGTTATGTCACTGGACTCCCATGTAGTTGACCATAGCTCATGTCCCAGACCAGATGGCTTAAAACTTATGCCAGGCGCAAGTCCGTGCATGCTCAAAATTATGAGAGAAGAATGGAGAAGTAACTGCAGTGTAGCCATCCCCTCCCGGGAGGGTGGTGTGATTTCTCTCTATCTGTCTCTGTCTCTCCGGTGAGTGCATGGGTCCTATAGCAAAAATCTCTCTTAATAAAAAAAAAAATAAAGAGAAAGAAGAAGAAAAAGATTAGTGGATTCATAGCACCTCCTTCTTCCCACCATCTTCCATCTCTGTGGCCAACTCCCCCTCTAGTGACTCCAAGCATCTCTCATCTTGAACCAAAGTGCTGCTCCCATTCTCTGTGATTGGACACATGAAGAGTCTTCAAGAAGTTCACAGAAAACACATATTATGAAAAAGTCATGCACGAATTTCAAAATTTTCTGCACCAAAATTAACTCATACTTTCCACAAACTTTCTGAAGTCTCCTTATATTTCAGTATCATTTAATGATCATTCCAGTTGGATTGGATCTGAGGAAGTGTCCTAAGAGTAGGACTTTTTGGGGGAAAAATTTTACTCGTTTTCAATAGAGGTATTGGTTGTTTTATTAATTCTTCAGAACTAATTTATTTAAAAAATAAATAAACAGCAAACAGCAAGCCTTACTTACCTGTATAGGGGCTTAAGGACCATGGTGCTGGGGATGGTGGATGTGAAACTTGAGGAAAACAGACTACCCCAAACCACTTTGATTTTCCCCTGGTTAAATCCCATTTCTTATCTCAACCTCTCAAATAGGAGGGAACTGGCTCAATGATAAAAGAAGAGTTCCTTCACACTGATACTGCTATCCAGGTCAGGGCCAGCTATTTCCAAATGGCATGTCTTTGGAAGAGGACAAGTTCTCAAGTTCTCCTGACTGTCCCTCTCAGACATTCAGCACGTCAGCTCCATGGTGCTTGCACACAGATCCATCCCACTGACTGTCTTCCTGACTTTTGAAGTCATTGTCTTTACTATCTTTTAGGTCTACTGGGCCTACGTCCTGAGAGACATGGCACTACTTAATCCACTGTCTGGATCTCCAACAAGGCTTTTGGCTTTATTTCTTAGTCCTCATGGAGGGTATAGGTTATTTGAAAATTCTCAAGGGCTATTTAAGACACAGTGAACAAGAACTAAGACCATAGAGGCATGCATACAAATCTCTCCAAGACGTTCACTTCATCCTGGTTAATATGTGACTGGCATGGTGGCTAGAAGCTTGGGATGGCCTGAAATTTGTGTTACTTTAGTAACTTTCCTTTGTGAGCCACAGGAGGAAGAAACGTATCAAAATTGTATATACAGAACCAACATGTCCATTCTGATAGTTCTCAGATGATTCGAAACATTTTATTTTTTTAAAAAACAAGTTTTGAACCTAATCAGGACTCCAAGTCAAAAAGAAAATAATGGATCGTTCTTTTTTATCTTAAGCTTATAAACCATGAACACGTGTGAAAGTGAGTTTCTTAGTGAAGGGGAGAATATTTGACCCAGATATAATACTACAGTGAAACGGGATTCAACGGTCACACAAGCCGAGTCACAAAATGATGCCACAGAAGAAGGGCAGGGAAGAGGAAGGCCACCAAAAAAGAAGTGCTCTATAAGAGGTACTTTCTAAATGCAACTTAATGAGAACAATAAGAAATGCTTTGTACTACTATTAAATAAACTTTAAAAACAAAACAAAAAGAACCACTTTGCTTTCTCTCGAAGTTACTTCACTTCTCTCAAAGCAAAGTGGCACCCAGTGTGTGGCTGGCTGTCCTCTACAATCCAAAAGAGAATGTTTCTATCTCCAACCTTAAGATAGTTTTAAGGCTCTACTTTACTCATCTACTTTTTAATTTTGACAGAGGGTGTGGGCTCTCACTGGAGACAGAGAAAGAAAAAGAGAGGGAAAGTGAGAAAGCACTTCCTCCACATGGGGAAGAGTCTTGCTAGAATCCCTTCTCCACCTCTCCCTCTTTTAGAATTTTGGACATGCACACATATGTGCATGGCATGTTTTTTAAAGCCACCAGTCCAATACTCAAACCACATGGTTGACCATATGGGATCCAGACATTTAAAAACACCAGTCCTAAGACGCCATACATGGAATAAGTCAACGTTATTTTGAATCCCGTTCAAAGATGGCATATTTGAATGGTCAACTGGTTGAATGTGTCTTTAATATTCTCTAATAAAGTTATGTGCTACTGGAAAAGGATTTATCATAAACATTACATGGAATGATTATTTTTCTCAGCAACATGACAAATAGAAAATACAAATGGACATTTTCTAGTTCTCTCAATGTATTGGCTTCTGGTAACAGAATCCTGAGATTTATCTCCTTTACTTGATCCATATAGAAAATTCATTATTGCTTCAAATGGTAATTTCATGTGTGCACACACACTCTT